ATACTTTTTGTATGTAAAAAAGAGGTATTCAAACTTGTCATAGATAATGTCCCCGATACCATTTATGGGGATTTTTGAAAGTTTGTCTGTAGGTAATTGGCAGATGCTGAATAAAATAAAACAAAAAACATGAATTTCTTCTGAAGTTTTTTCTTTATTCTTTACTCCTCTATTTAGTTCAAATATGATGAGGAGCGATTTTGATGATAATGTTAAATTAATGTTTCACTTTCGTGACCCAGAAGCATATCGGAGAATATTTATTCGTCAATAAGCCATTGCAATTTGGCTGTCCTGTAATAAGCCTACAGTCAGATGATGTGTTGGCCCCATAGGCCTATTGCAGGATATAAATGGTAAAATACCGGGAAATCAGGAAAATATCTATGATCATAAAAAAACAACTAACATCTAAGAATAAAAACCTGTATCCATGGAAATAAATGTCTAATACATCAACAAACAAGAGGCCCATAGGCCTTAACGGTCACCTGACATCCGATTCAAATTAGGACTGTCATCCAGGGGCCAATTCATACTTTTCGTCGTCCGAGTGACTTTAATTGCTGCATCATCCATTAATTTTTCCTTGTGAACACAATAACTTCAATAAATATGAACCGATTTTGATGAAACTTTGTATGCCGCTTTGTATCAATGAGATCTTGATTGAGTTTGAATACCAGACCAATTTGACCATAACTTACATAGTTATTCCCCTTGGTAATTCTATTATTATTGGACCCTGTGAACACGATAACTGAAATAAATGGGTGTGACTCCAATTTTGACCCAAGGGGTCTGTTTTGAACAAACTTGGTAACTGTATGTCTTCTATTCTTGGTTAAAAGAAACAAGTAAAAGCGTAAATCAATGATTTATTAAATAAGGCACAAAATTTTAATAGCACCTTATTAGTAGCAAAAATGCATCATAAATGGAAACAAGAGGCCCATGGGCCTTAACGGTCACCTGAGTCTATAGTANAATCAACATCACTGGGACAAATAATAATAATAATGACAAAGAGCAATAACTCTGCAGGTTACCGTCAAATAATTACCGGACAAAGTTTCATTTAACTCTGTCAACATTTATTCAAGTTATCGCGTTTACAAGGTCCAATAATAATATTATTACAAAGGGCAATAACTCTGTAAGTTACTGTCAAATAATTCCCATTTAGAGTCCGGGATCTTATTGATATATGGCTGCAAACAAAGTTTCATCAAACTCGGTTAACATTTACTCAAGTTCTCATGTTCACAAGGTCCAATAATAATATTATTACAAAGGGGAATAACTATATAAGTTACTGTCGAATAATTCCCATTTAGAGTCCGGGATCTTATTGATATATGGCTGCAATTACTCAAGTTCTCATGTTCACAAGGTCCAATAATAATATTATTACAAAGGGCAATAACTCTGTAAGTTACTGTTGAATAATTCCCATTTTGAACTCGTCCGGGATCTTATTGATATTTGGCTGTATACAAAGTTTCATCAAACTCGGTTAACATTTACTCAAGTAATCGTGTTCACAAGGTCTAATAATAATAATATTACAAAGGGCAATTACTCTGTAAGTTACTGTCCAATAATTCCCATTTTCGAACTCGTCCGAGATCTTATTGATATATGGCTGCATACAAAGTTTTATCAAACTCGGTTAACATTTACTGAAGTTATTGTGTTCACAAGGAAAAGTTAACGCACGACGGACGACGACGGACAAAAGGCTATCACAATAGGTTACCATGACCAATGGTCAGGTAACCTAAAAATATAACAAATTATATGTGGGGTTATAAAGATTTATCACGATGAGAAAACATTGAACACCTGATATGGTATTGCAACATTTTATTAATATCAAGAATATGAAAGTAAAGGTTTTAACAACTATCAGCTAGTTTACACATCCATCCTACTTGTCTCATGATCTTGAGAGGTTATTAGACATCTTACCTATCCCATGATCTAGAGAGGCTATTAGAATCCTACCTGTCCCATGATCTGGAGGGGCTATTAGACATCCTACCTGTCCAATGATCTAGAGAGGCTATTAGAATCCTACCCGTCCCATGATCTAGAGAGGTTATTAGACATCCTACCTGTCCCATGATATAGAGAGGTTATTAGACATCCTACTTGTCCAATGATCTAGAGAGGCTATTAGACATCCTACCTGTCCCATGATATAGAGAGGTTATTAGACATCCTACCTGTCCCATGATATAGAGAGGTTATTAGACATCCTACTTGTCCAATGATCTAGAGAGGCTATTCGAATCCTACCTGTTCCATGATCTTGAGAGGCTATTAGACATCATACCTGTCCCATGATCTAGAGAGGGTATTATACATCCTACCTGTCCAATGATCTAGAGGGGCTATTAGAATCCTACCTGTCCAATGATCTAGATAGGCTATTAGAATCCTACCTGTCCCATGACCTTGAGAGGCTATTAGACATCCTACCTGTCCCATGATCTTGAGAGGCTATTAGAATCCTACCTGTCCCATGACCTAGAGAGGCTATTAGACATCCTACCTGTCCCACGATCTTGAGAGGCTTTTAGATTTCAACAAACAAGGTTTTTCAAAGCCTTGCATACGCTTAGGTAAACAACAAGTACCAAGTGTCAAAGTTTGTTACAATCTCAAAAGAGACAGGTTTTTGGCAGCTTCACTTTCAAAGAGTGACATTTAAAGCTGCCCAATTGAACTGCAAACTTGTACATATTTCTGTCAATAAAAGACCACAGCAGCCATCTTGAATCCCAAAACTTAGAAGTCGGTCATTTGATGTAACATATGCCACCTATTATGAACAATGTCACCCAAATGGAACTTGATTACCGGGTATAGCTCTAAATGTCTTGGCCAATCAGAAGCCATGTCAGCCATCTTGAATCCCGAAAACTAATTGTCTGGTGTAAAGTTATGTACTCAATATGTGTTACTCTAGATCTCACAAAGTAGGAACAATGTTGAGTTAATAGAACTTGACATTTAGCCATTCATGTCTTGACAAATCAGAGGCTATGACAGCCACCTTAAATCCCAAATCTTGAAGCTGTTTTTGACAGGTATATGTAATTACCGTATTCAAACTAAAACATATGGAAGGGCACATGACAGGATACAGTACTAATTGCAAAGTATCATAAATAAACATGAGAATGTACAAATACAACAATAAATAATGGACATGTGTTTTAAACAAATTTTAAAGGCACTTTCGGATATGAAAGACAAAATTTAATATATTCTATAAAATAAAACAACTTCATATTTCTACAATTAAAATAAGTTCATGAGTTTGTGAAAATACATCAAATGTACATATTTGGCAGAACATGATCATGTTGAATATAATATCTGGCAATACATAAAATAAATAAAACATATTAAAAATAACTGAAAGGTTGTACAATTCTCATTATAGACTTCAATAATTTATACAAAAAAAAATTGTGTGCAGAGCAGATCTTCAGTAATTAAGCAAAGTCATGAAAATCTCATCTGGAAAACTTAACATTGACTAGTTTTTCAGTTAAGATCTTAAATATCCTATTTACTTAGGAACTAATATTTTGTTTGTAATACTGTACAGCTGTTGTGAACATGTAAAGCTATCCAGACAGTTGTCAGAAAGCCTGTGTCTATGGTAAAATCTAAGTCCGATATTTTATGGCACCAAAGATATTTCCAACATTTTGTAATGTGTATTACTAGGAGAAGTTACAGAAGACATCTGATTTAGGAAGCACTATTCTGCCATCGAAGTAAAACATTTATCAACAAGGCAATCCATAGCCCCCCCACCGGTACTGATTTCTATATTTAACAAACAGTACACTTATGTCTGGATGTACCTACTGTTAGGAACGTATCCTTATACATACTTCTTGCACTCAGTCAAATCTGGTTACTCAAGATGGAAAAGTAAAGAAGAACACCCCCCCCCCCCCCCCCCTCCCGACAAACTTTATCAAACATTCAGGTCAAAGGTCAAAGCATAGGTCACAGTGAGGTCATCGTGACATTCTACTTGCACTCTGCCATCCCAAGATGTCCTTGTACATCAAATCTGGTCACTCCACATGAAATAGTATAAAAAAAATATGTCCCATACAAACTTCTCAGATGGAGGGACGGACAGACTGACGGACGGACGGACAGAGTGCAAACCTATAGTCTCCCCCGGGAACTGGTGGGGGACTAATAAGTCCTATTCACACTGACCAGTCAAATGTCAAGCTTACAAATACTCCTTTTTTTCTGACAAAATATTGCAAAATAAGTAACACACAAATGTGTATTAATCATAGTATCTGTATACACCTTCATCAAAATCGTTTTGTCATAATTAGGTAAATATTACATGTTAGCTAGAAAAGGCAGACAATGCTCTGTGAATATCATGATACTTTAAACATGTTCAAAACTTTTTCATAAACAAGTAATTTTTACTGTAACTGAAACTATAGCAACATTTAAACAGATATTCACCTTTTAGATGACAAGGACGGACATTTATCAATACAGGTAATACTCACTGTATCATTCTCAGTGAAGAATGGACACACACAAATCAAAGACCATTGCTCGATATCTCAAATTATGACACACAAAGACCATTGACCATTGTCCGACATCTATAGGTACAAAACGCCTGCAGAATAAACACCCACATATCAAATCTCCAGAAAAAAACACCTGTAGAATGGACATACAGAGACCATAGACTGGTTTGTTATCTCAAACCATTATCTAATGGAGACATCACAGGCCATTATCTAATGGAGACATCGAGGACCATTATCTATAGAGACGTCACGGACCATTATCTATAGAGACATCACAGACCATTACATTATCTATAGAGACATCACAGACCATTATCTAATGGAGACATCGAGGACCATTATCTAATGGAGACATCATGGACCATTATTTATAGACGTCACGGACCATTATCTATAGAGACGTCACGGACCATTACATTATCTATAGAGACATCATAGACCATTATCTATAGAGACATCACGGACCATTATCTTCATACAGCTTGTACACCAACTGGAAAAGAACAAACATATATCTTAAATATAGCAATTTTATCAAATTGTTTTTACAATCAAGGTTACAATTATGCATTGTGTAGGTTCAAATTATAAATGTAACTAACTGTAATGAAAATAAGTGCATTACTGTAACCACAGAACACATTTTGAAACAGTATATCATTTTTATACTTGTTGAAAACTATTTAGATGTAACGTTGGAAAGAAATACATTTGACTTAGCATTAATTAAGGTCATGATTGCTGGAAGATGATAATTTATTATGATGAGTGCTTAAATTTTCTGAGAGAACGTCGAACATTTACAACTGTGAGAAAATGAACATACATTTTTGAATTTAAGAGCCAGCCCATCCACAAATCCTTCAGGAGTCTTGCCCGCAGGGACGAGAGAACTAAGGACCTTGCCTGGCTTCTCCTTGTTGTATGCCTCTTCTAGACCCGAGGGGATATAGTCTGTGTTTACCTCCACCTACAGCAGACCAGTTACCATTACTCAACATGCAATAGAGGTTATAGAGGTTACTGTAAATAACTGACAACTGTGGCCAATGTATGGGTAGCAGCAAACACAAATAATGTTGGCACCATTGGTTACAGCAATTTTTAGCTCACCTGGTCCTCACCTATGCCATACCGCAGCATCCGTCGTCTGATGTCCGTCAACTTTTCCTTTAAAATGCAACTAGTCCTGAACAGCCAAGTAGATCATGACTAAATTTGGTCTGGAGCATCCTTAGGCCAAGGGGACTGAATTTTGGATTAATGGTGGGTGTGGCCTCCCTAGGGGCAGAGGGGCGGGGCCCAATAGGGGAAATAGAGGTAAAACCTTCAAAATCCTTCTTCTACCGTAGGGATTAAGAGATTTTATCCTAATTTAGTCTGGAGCATCCTTGGGCCAAGGGGACTCAATTTTGTATAAATGGTGGGTGTGGTGCCTCTTGGGGCAGATGGCCGGGGCCGAATAGGGGAAATAGGTAAAACCTTCAAAATCCTTCTCCTACCGTAGGGATTAAGGGATTTTATCCTAATTTAGTCTGGAGCATCCTTGGGCCAAGGGGACTCAATTTTGTATAAATGGTGGGTGTGGCCCCCCTGGGGGCAGAGGGGCGGGGCCGAATAGGGGAAATAGAGGTAAAACCTTCAAAATCCTTCTTCTACCGTAGGGATTAAGGGATTTTATCCTAATTTAGTCTGGAGCATCCTTGGGCCAAGGGGACTCAATTTTGTATAAATGGTGGGTGTGGCCCCCCTGGGGACAGAGGGGCGGGGCCCAATAGGGGAAATAGAGGTAAAACCTTCAAAATCCTTCTCCTACCGTAGGGATTAAGGGATTTTATCCTAATTTAGTCTGGAGCATCCTTGGGCCAAGGGGACTCAATTTTGTATAAATGGTGGGTGTGGCCCCCCTGGGGACAGAGGGGCGGGGCCCAATAGGGGAAATAGAGGTAAAACCTTCAAAATCCTTCTCCTACCGTAGGGATTAAGGGATTTTATCCTAATTTAGTCTGGAGCATCCTTGGGCCAAGGGGACTCAATTTTGTATAAATGGTGGGTGTGGCCCCCCTTGGGGCAGAGGGCCGGGGCCGAATAGGGGAAATAGAGGTAAAACCTTCAAAATCCTTCTCCTACCCTAGGGATTAAGGAATTTTATCCTTATTAAGTCTGGAGCATCCTTGGGCCAAGGGGACTCAGTTTTGTATAAACCGTGGGTTTGGCCCCCCAAAGGGCCTGAGGGGCGGGGCCAAATAGGGGAACATAGCAAATTATTCTTTAAAATCCTTCTACTTCTGTAGGAATGACAGGATTTGGTCCATATTTGGTGTTGAGCATCCTTGGGTTAAGGGAAACCAATTTTGTATAAACGGTGGGTCTGACCCCCTTGGGGGCTGAGGGGCGGGGCCCAATATGGGAAATATAGCAATTTCTTAAAAATCCTTCTTCTTTTGTAGGAATGACAGGATTTATTCCATATGTAGTCTGAAGTATCCTTGGGTGAAGGGGTATCAATTTTGTATAAACCGTGGGTCTGACCCCCCAGGGGCCTGAGGGGCGGGGCCCAATAGGGGAAACATAGCAAATTATTCTTTAAAATCCTTCTTCTGTAGGAATGAAAAGATTTGGTCCATATTTGGTGTGAAGCATCCTTGGGTAAAGGGGAACCAATTTTGTATCAACGGTGAGTGTGAAGATTAACCTAAATTTCCCCTATGGGGCCTTGCACCTCTGCCCCAAGGAGGGCCACACCCTCAGTTTATGAAAAATTAAATTCCCTTTGCCCTAGGATGCTCTTCACAAAATTTGACAGACAGATGAACGCTGTGTCACGGCATAAACTAACTTTCCATGAAACAATTTTATATAAATTTTGATAAATATAAATCTTTTATTGATGAAAACATTACTTACCAGTTTGTTGGTAGCAACATCCCCAGGTAACTCATCATCTCTTCTGGCATCAGCGAGACGGACAAACACAGACGCTCCGTCCACCAGGTGGATCTGTGTATGAAAACCAAAAATACCAGTCTATTTTAATGAAAGATATTCCCAGTCCTATCCTGGTTATTTTATTGAACTTCTTGAATTTTTGAAAATTTTAAGGTTACAAACAAGTATTTATGCCATTTGTTTTACTTAATATTTTAGTGTGCATATATATACTGCATCTATCATGTGAATTAAATATTCAATGATTTTTTAACTCTTGACTAGAAGTGTATTACACTACCCAAGTCACATACCCACCCATCCCCTCTCCAACAGGTTTAAACTCGGTGTTGCTAATTGATATACACCACATGAACCCTACCATCAATTAAATGTGTAAGCTAACCATGATAAAGACTTTTTACATATATGGTCAGTGGTCCGTAGTAGGCACAGGGGTTGCGTTTGCAAGAAGACAATTGATATCACATTTTAATACTTTAAAATCAGGAATCATTGTGAGAAAGTCATGCCAGTAAATCGTATATAAGCATATTAAAAACTAATAAATAAGCATTTGATCCAATGATACGTAACGTTAATCATACATGCAACTTAATAATGTTGACGCCAAAAAATGCATATTGCACTTAGTTTTCTTAATAGATATATCATATAGATATATAAGCCACTCCACTAAAAGATGATCATATCCTGCCTACTAACAGTACCTTCATGTTGGCAATAAAGACATTTAAAGGACGGACTACATTTTTACACAGAAGCATTTAAATGTAGCTTTAGTAGTGTAGGGGCCATATTTAGTTGAGACCCAAGATGGGATACTTGTAGTCTTTAGCAAAAATGAATATTTTTATTAAATGAATAATATATTAAATGAATATATAATGAAATGAATAGAAAAAATCTATTACCTGTAACTTTGCTTACGCTTTGGTTTGGATTATGTTACAGAATCTTAGCCCTCGACTGAGATAACCCGATCTCGCTCAGTTATAGCTAATAGATTTGATTAATGCTAAAATAAATTGTCCCACTGAATTGACTTTGGATGCATGTGGTATTTGCTTTTCTCCACTTACAGCCCTGCTGCGGAGGTTGCGCTCCATCCACTCTTGGCATGGCTCCCTGGCCAGCTGTTTGAGCATCTGAGGTGTTGGGGAGCCCTGATATAGGGGCAGCTGGAATATACTGGTGTAGGCGTACCTGTCTGTGAATGCCTGAACAGCAGTCCATGCCTAAAGGTGTAGTAAAATAATGCCTTTAAACAACTTACACAGTACAATTTCAATTAAACTGAACAAGAAAAGAAATGCAGTTTTCTGATTGCTATTATTGGTATATAACATAAAGACTAATTCATGGTAAAACATAACATGAAAATCATATTTAACAATAATAAGAGGCCCAAGGAGCCTGTACTGCTACCCTAGTATTCCACATATAAAATATGAAGAAGTTGTTTGAAATTTTTGAAACATTTGATTTATGTAACCCTGAATAATGGTTACAATGATTTATTCGGGAATGTTGATTCAGGCCATCAAGTTACAGTCCAAATTTCATTACCCTCGGCTTTATTGTTTTTTAAAAGAACTTGTTTATGACACAAAAGTTAACATCAGATGGACAATGCCCATTGTATGATCTAAATACTTCATTTGGAACTTTAAGAACTTGAACATTTAAATTTAATTAGTAACTAAAACTGTGAGCCAAAGGCTAAATAATACCCCCTGCTCCTATATAAACCAGAACTGTAGGGTAAAGGCTAACTAAGGCAAAGCATTGCAAAGCATTGCAAAGCAATCCAGTCTCCCACCAGTAATGATTTCTTTATTGACTGAGCTGTACACATATTTAAGTATATAGGTCACTGACATACTAGGTTTTCTCCCTCCCAATACCAAAACATACTTGCAAACCAAATCTTGTTAGTCCAGATGAACAAGTGTTGCTGAAATCATCCTAGCAGTTAAGGAAGAGATGTCAGGACAAAGGTTTTTAACATGCTGAAATCGTCCTAGTAGTTCAGGAAGAGATGTCAGGATGAAGATTTTTAGGACACCTGAGACAAAGTCTCAAGTGACCTATTGCGATCGCCTTTTGTCCGGCGTCGTCCGTAAACAATTTACATTTTTCGACTTCTTCTCCAAAACCCCAGAACCAATTTCAATGAAATTTTGCAGAAACCTTCCATGGCCTAAGGTCAACAAAAATAGTTGCCGGTTTGGTCCCCAGCCAGGGGCCTGAGGGGCGGGGCCAAAAAGGGTCAAGTTGACTAAATTTCAAAAATCTTCTTCTCAAGACCCAGATATGGTAGAATCAAATACTCTTCATAGATGGAAGGGTCTTAAGGTGCTTTACCAAAATTGTGAATTTCATGATCCTGGGGTCTCACGTTTTCCCCCTGGGGAGGGGGTAAACTTTACTTTAGTTTATATAGGGAAATCACATTTTGGACCAACATTTGCTTAATTTCCATTGGAAGTAATTCAATTTAGGTTAGCATTATCAGTATTAGGTAGCAGTTTGATAGTATGCACATGAGCCCTGACTGAACCCCTGGGGCTGATGGGTGTGGCCAAAAAGGGTTGAATTGACTGAAATTTCAAAAGTCTCTGTCTGAAGACCCAGATATTGTAGAATCAAATACTCTTCATAGATGGAAGGGTCTTAAGGTGCTTTACCAAAATTGTGAATTTCATGATCCTGGGGTCTCACGTTTTCCCCCTGGGGAGGGGGTAATCTTTACTTTAGTTTATATAGGGAAATCACATTTTGGACCAACATTTGTTTAATTTCCATTTGAAGTAATTCAATTTGGGTTAGCATTATCAGTATTGGGTAGCAATTTCTAAAATCTTCTTCTCAAAGACCCAGATATGGTAGAATCAAACACTCTTCATAGATGGAAGGGTCTTAAGGTTTATGACCCTCACGTTTACCCCCTGGGGAAGGAAGGGGGGGGGGCAAAATTTATTATGTTTTATAATGGCAAATGATACTTTGAATATTACATGTTAATAACTTGATTGGAATTATAACCCTGAGTTGACAGTTTGATACTATGAAAATTTTGAGCCAGCCCTACCCCCAAGGGCTGTAGGGTGGGGCCCAAAGGAGTCAGTGTGCTAAAATGTCTTCATTTTCCTTGTTTAGAATCAGAGGTGCTAGTTTCAAATACTTTTTAGTCTTAAATCTGTATGCTAGATATTGAATAAGGTGGTTTTATTGTTTTTTGTCACTTTGAATAATATTTCTGTTCGTGTTAAAAACAAAATCAACTCTCTGTATAAATATATCAGGTGACTGTTAAGGCCCATGGGCCTCTTGTTAACAAAGGGCCATAACTCCTTAAAAATGGTCGAAATGAAATAATACTACTCTGATGCACGATATCAGGGGTTAATTACCATATTTGTAAATTTTCATTGAAATCAGCCCAGTAGTTTAGGAGGCAGACCAAACTTTTTTCAACAAAGGGCCATAACTCCTTTTAAAGGATCAGAATGAAAAAGTGCTTCTTGGATGCACAACGTCAGGGGGTAGTTACCATATCTGTAAACTTTCTTTGAAATTGGCCCAGTAGATTAGGAGAAGCTGTCAGGAGAAGGATTTTTCAACAAAGGGCCATAACTCCATAAAAAATGGGTTGGAAAAAAATATGTGGATAAACAACATCAGTGGGTAGTTATCATATCTAAAAACTTTTGACAAAATTGTCCGCATAGTCTTGGAGGAGTTGTCTGGACAAGTATTTTCCACAAAGGGCCATTACTCTGTAGAAAAGGGTCAGATTGAAAAAAATAATACCAGGATTCAGAACATAAGATGGTAATTATCATATCTGAAAACTGTCATTGAAATTGGCCACGTAGTTTTGGAGAAGTTGTGCGGGCAAGCATTTTCAACATAGGGTTATAACTCTGTCAAAAGGGTCAGAATTAAAAAAATAATACCTGAATGCACAATATCAGGTGATAGTTATCATATCTGAAAACTGTCATTGAAATTGGCCAAGTAGTTTTGGAGGAGTTGTTATGACAAGGATTTTTTAACAAAGGGCCATAACTTTGTAAAAAAAGGTCAGAATGAAAAGAAATAATACCTGGATGCACAATTTCAGGTGGTAGTTATCATATCTGGAAAGTTTTGTTGAATATGATCCATAACTTAAGAAGGAATAATAATAAAACATGAACATTGAATAATGAAAAGTATTTATTTTTCCATGACAAAGCTTAGTCTAACACCAAAGCTGTGATAGTGTCAGTAAATGAAGATCAGAGTGTGTATTACCTGTTCTATAAGTCCATACTTGTAGTTTTCCCTGGCCACAGTGACAGACACCTCCTGTAGATGAATGATGTAGGTCAGGTACCGGTGGAAGGATCGACGGGGAAAGTGCTGGCAATAAAAAACATACTTACATAATGTTAGAATCTGTCCGACGGGGAAAGTGCTGGCAATAAAAAACATACTTACATAATGTTAGAATCTGTCTGAGAAATATATATCAGAACATGGTTTACCTTTTATTTCATATGTACTAAATACCAGAATTTGTTGCCGCAGTTTAACTTTCACCTTTGTCGCCCTTCGTGACGAGGGCAACTTTATCTTTTTGGCCCTTCGTAACGAGGGCAATTTTATCTTTTTGGCCCTTTGTAACGAGGGCAATTTTATCTTTTTCGCCCTTCGTAACGAGGGCACCTTTATCTTTTTCGCCCTTCGTAACGAGGGCAATTTTATCTTTTTCGTCCTTCATAACAAGGGCAACTTTCTCTTTTTCGCCCTTCGTAACGAGGGCAATTTTATCTTTTTCGCCCTTCTTAACGAGGGCAACTTTATCGCCCTTTGTAATGAGGGCAACGTTATCTTTTTCGCCTTTCATAACGAGGGCAAGTTTATCATGACAGTAACCACTTGTACATAGCATTCCTATATGGTAATTACATGGGCAGGGCAAAATTAACACAGGGCAAATTTTGATTTTATCGATGAAAAACATTTTGATTGGGTGAAACTATCCAGTGAACAGTATTTCTAAATACAGTCTATCATATGTAGGTATATACTATATGACAGTTCTACCCAAGGGTGGAGAGGCTTTGCCAAGGTTCTGACACCAAATATCCCACATAATGACTTACTCTTTTTCTCCCATCTTTATGAACTTTTTTATCCCAATTCTTATGAACTTTTACTGCATATTTTTCCAGTTTTGATGCATTTTATAAGTACACCCCATGGGGGCCCCTTTCTGTTAAGAGTTCAATCAAATGAAAAAAGCTTTCCAATATGCAGACAGTTATGATTTATTCACTTTTGGCAAACCATATACTTTTATATACCGACAAATAGGCCAAACATTGTAGATAAAAAGTATGACAAAAATAATTCTTTACAGAAATACAAAAAAAATGCATTTATTCATATTTCATATTGCCATAAAAATTTTGTACTCCATTTATATATTACAATTAGTTGATATTGTCGCCTTATTATGTTTTGTCGATTTTGTCCACCACATACAAATTTAACAAGTCTTATTGCAAAACAAGAGTTAAGGGAGACATAGAAAAGGGAGTCATAGAAAAACTTCAATTTAGACCACATTTACCATACACAACTAAACAGACTGAGAATTTCACCCTAAACATATTTTAAGGGCGAAACAACTGAGTGCAGAACGACCCAGGGCGAACGTTATTTAAGACTAAACGACATGACACCCATTTTTTCCACCCAGAACTTTCTGCCTGTCTACCTAGCTTCACGTTAAAAAGAGGACAATCGCCATTTTCACAAATTCCTTCCCCTTTACACACATGTCCACTGCTGTAATCATAATCTACAAACACTTCAGATTCCTTGACAGTGCATAATTTTGACAACATTTTCTCAAAAGGGCAGCGCAAATAACTATATATATAACAGTTGTCATTTGTTTACAATCAGTGTTTCCCCACGGGCGGTAACTCATACCGAAAATGATGCCACAATTAGGAGGAAGTTTGCCAATTTCATTATACATGGAATACCTTAAATACAGATAATAATTTATAAGGTACAGCATTTACATGTAGTATATAATGAAGATTCTACCACATTCAGGATGTAACGACACTTTCCATTGGTTAATAACCATGGAATATTTGAACGACATAACATGACTGTATAACTTTCCAACAGATCAATACTCTTTCAAAAACCTCCCACCCAAACGTACAAGTAAACAAGCGAGTTGCAGGACTCGTTTCAGTTGTAAAATGAGGCTACCTGCATGTAATTTTGTATGTATTTGAAGGTTTGCCAGCAGTTTACCAAACAAAATTGATTTTACCTCTAGATCTACTTAAAACCTGTCAAGGTCATGGTCAGAATATTTCCGCTGAACTTACCGCGAAAGTGACTTGAAATATTGTTTATAAATTTGTGAAATGCTGATTTCATGTGTAAACGAGCAAGGGCGATAGATTGGTGGATTCAATTGATTGAAATAAAGATCTGGCATAAAGCATGATACCAGTGTTTATTGTCTGTCAGTCAAATGAATGACGAATGAAAATGTACAATCACAGACATGGAGTAATAGAGAGGGAGAAAGAAGAATTTGCAATGTCATGTAAAGGACTTATACCTTGAAACCATCTTTCCAAGAGGGTGAGGTGTTGGTACTGTTGAGATCAAGCATTTCAGTGAAGGTAAGCTTGTCATATGTTGCATGAGGCGCTCCCTGTAATGTGAAACACAAAATACTATGATCATTGTCTTCCATTAAATTTGTGAATAATGTTATAGTTAAAGATTATACCTGTATATTTTCATCAAACATTTAAATCCATGACTTCTGACACCTATCAATAATGTGAAGGTCAACAGTACATAGAACATTAAAGACTTATACATTTTCAAATTTAAACCAAGTATTTAGTCATCATCAGCTATTTCAACATTAAATTTTTTTCAATAGAGCTATGTATGACAGAGGTAGAGCGTTCCCAGAATATTAAGACTGAGTGGGCGCGTGTTATACTTACCAGGTAGAAGGCTCCTGGAGGGTTTAGGCACAGGTGGGCATGGGTAAAGTTGGACCAAGGTAGATTGGCAGCACTGTCAACTGTTATCTGTATTGCACAACATAACACTATAATTTGGTTTGAAGTTTTGGAAATAAAGAAGTAAATATTAGTATCAATACAGACCGATTTTTACAATAGATGATACTGTGTCTATTTAGCATTTCTATAAGTCATGGGAACATATTTTTAATTCACACTTGAATGTCTTTCCAAAGATAAAAGACATTAATTTTCAGGAAATTTGTGTTTTTAATAATAAACCATGCCTTTCTCACATATCTGGAAAACGATTTTTTTCTGGAAATAAAGGGTCTGGACTAAAAATTCCGTTACCTTCAAGCCTTGTCGAGGACTGTATGTGGCGATGAAGTTTAAGTCCTGATCAAGTGGCTTCTGGTCGACTGACTTAGTAAGCTTGTTCTGAAAATATCCAAGACATTGTACTTTTGATATTAAGCCAATCAATTCGCAGTAACAACTTTTTTTTATACTTCTAAATTTAGCCTTCATCTGAAATATGCACCAATAGTTTTTGTAGTTTGTACCTCAATAATCTCATATATGTTTGTTGCCAAAATCAGTAATATTTCCACCAAATCTGATTGCAGCCAGTGAAATAGTATAAAAGATATGCCCCAGACAAACTTTTTCAAAAGGTTAGGTCAAATGTCAAAGCATAGGTCACAGTGAGGTCATAGTGACCTACTTCATGCACTCCGCTATCCCAAGATGTCCAAATCTGCATGATTATTCCAGGTGAAATAGTATAGAAGATATGCACCGGACAAACATTTTTAAAAGTAAAGGTCAAATGTTCAGTCATAGGTCACAGTAACCTAATTCTTGCACTTTGCACTCTGTCATCCCAAGATGTCCTTGTACACCAAATCTGGTTACACAAGGTGAAATAGTATAGAAGATATGCCCCGGAAAAACATTTTCAAAAGTAAAGGTCAAAGGTCAAGTCATAGATCACAATGAACTAATTCTTGCACTCTGCACTCCGCAATGCCAATTTTAGAAGATATGTCCCGGACAAACTTCTCAGACGGAAGGACTGACGGAGTGCAAACCTATAGTCCCCCTGGGAACTAGTGGGGGACTAATAAGCAATAAATTAGACAGTCTGACATGTATGGCGTTGTCTCTCTATATATAGGCATAATTTGTACTGAATACAAGGCTGCTTGTGTGTCTGGTTCGACAGTGTTTCAATTGGTTGTAGCTTAAAGGAAATGATGGCCCCAAATTGGAACAGTAGTTGATGAAATTCAACACACGTAGATATATAGATAAATAACAAAAAATGTCTGAATATAAAATATCACTACTTTGCTGTTTCTCTGCATAAAACAAGGTCAATTTATTTACATTGTATATCTATATTTTAGGGAAAAACTATATTATTAGGTTCATGGAAGAATAAAGCAGATAGAATTTCTAGCTGATGATTCGACAAAGAAATCCTAAACTGTGTATTTTGATTGCTGCTTATTATGTTGCCCCAATTCCAGTCAAAGTGCTTTTGTTTTGATAGCATATTTTTGTACCTAACCTTGACTATTAACTAAGTATACAAAATAGCCCAGGAATGTTTTTAATTTGCTAAACCAAGTCACCTACCCTGATGAACTCTTCAATGTTTTTGTCACTCCTGAAGAAGCTCTCCTTTGCCTGAGCCATTCTTGCCACAGCGTCCCTGTTGGACATGGGAGGCCGGCGCATCATCGAGTGGAACAGCTTACTCTCCCCCTTGGAAGGCATACACTTACTAGAGTAGTAGATACGGTCCGTGTACTTGGGGCGGGGCTGCCACAGACCAAGTCGCAGCCAGTCTGCCTGTGGCACCTTGCTGGCCTATAGTGTTAATCAACAATGGTTAACACTTACTTCATATATATACTTTACTTAATTTACAACAATTTTTAAGAACATTTTAATTTTTACTTTAACTCATATTAATCAATTACTGTAACACTATAGACTACTCATCCTGTATAGCTTATTCTTAAGTGTTGTATGTAAGTGAAATTTTCCCATTATCACACTTTTAAAATTTAACAAATTACTCCACTAAGCTTCACAGTCAAGACCCTTGTTTATATTGCGAGTTTTACTTTAAATATACCCTTTTAACTGGCTTTTGGTTAACACAAGCCCTTTTCCAGTACTATTTTTTGAATGATGATATTGAAAATCTTTTCAAGGCAGCATAATAAATTCAAGCCTTTTCAAACTAATGCTTTTAGCCTTGCATGCAAACATTGAATCCTACCTCAAGGGCATGGCCACCAGGTCCCTTAGGAACCCTGGTGATCCTGACGAGCAGCGATGCACACGGGACAACCCTAATGCCAGCATCCCTCAGGCAGGACTCTGTGAGCGGGTCAACGCCATTGGGTCCCTGACTGTACAGACGTAACTGGTGAGCTCCCTCATTCAGAGAAACCTACATTACATTGTAATGTATTGAAGAAAAGTGTAGTTGTGGTCATGTGCACAATATTTCAAAGGTGAACAGAGGAAGTCAAATGCTGATGAAATGTAATAAATTGTATGTATATATATTTGTAATGTACTGGTAACTCGCAGTTCTGTGCATTTAGAATGTAAGGATTATTCTCATAATTTTACCTAGTTTTTGAAGTATATTAAAAAAAAGAAAACGCCTTTGAACATTTAAACTGAGTGAAGTTATTACAACAGTAGCATTTACGGATTAATATATACTTTTGAAACAGTCCTCTGTATCATTTTGGGAAATATTTGAGAACAGTATGTCGACTTTGATACTGACCTGTAGTCCAGGTTTGTCTATGGCGGGCTGTCTCTCTGTCCCCGACTCCACAAAGATGTTTAGTGTACAGTAGCCCACTACAGTTAGACCCTTGTAGAAGTTGTCCACAGTGTAGATCTGGAACGGGAACAAGTGATCAAGTTATGGATGATAATATTGTATTTAAGAAATTGGTTATACAGTATGGAATCCTTAGTCCACTAGAAGTAAGCAGTATGGAATACTTAGTCCACTAGAAGTACGCAGTATGGAATCCTTAGTCCACTAGAAGTACGCAGTACGGAATCCCTAGTCCACTAGAAGTACGCAGTACGGAATCCCTAGTCCACTAGAAGTACGCAGTACGGAATCCTTAGTCCACTAGAAGTGCGCAGTATGGAATCCTTAGTCCACTAGAAGTGCGCAGTATGGAATCCTTAGTCCACTAGAAGTGCGCAGTATGGAATCCTTAGTCCACTAGAAGTACGCAGTATGGAATCCTTAGTCCACTAGAAGTACGCAGTATGGAATCCTTAGTCCACTAGAAGTACGCAGTATGGAATCCTTAGTCCACTAGAAGTACGCAGTATGGAATCCTTAGTCCACTAGAAGTACGCAGTATGGAATCCTTAGTCCACTAGAAGTACGCAGTATGGAATCCTTAGTCCACTAGAAGTACGCAGTATGGAATCCTTAGTCCACTAGAAGTACGCAGTATGGAATCCTTAGTCCACTAGAAGTACGCAGTATGGAATCCTTAGTCCACTAGAAGTACGCAGTATGGAATCCTTAGTCCACTAGAAGTACGCAGTATGGAATCCTTAGTCCACTAGAAGTACGCAGTATGGAATCCTTAGTCCACTAGAAGTACGCAGTATGGAATCCTTAGTCCACTAGAAGTACGCAGTATGGAATCCTTAGTCCACTAGAAGTACGCAGTATGGAATCCTTAGTCCACTAGAAGTACGCAGTATGGAATCCTTAGTCCACTAGAAGTACGCAGTATGGAATCCTTAGTCCACTAGAAGTACGCAGTATGGAATCCTTAGTCCACTAGAAGTACGCAGTATGGAATCCTTAGTCCACTAGAAGTACGCAGTATGGAATCCTTAGTCCACTAGAAGTACGCAGTATGGAATCCTTAGTCCACTAGAAGTACGCAGTATGGAATCCTTAGTCCACTAGAAGTACGCAGTATGGAATCCTTAGTCCACTAGAAGTACGCAGTATGGAATCCTTAGTCCACTAGAAGTACGCAGTATGGAATCCTTAGTCCACTAGAAGTACGCAGTATGGAATCCTTAGTCCACTAGAAGTACGCAGTATGGAATCCTTAGTCCACTAGAAGTACGCAGTATGGAATCCTTAGTCCACTAGAAGTACGCAGTATGGAATCCTTAGTCCACTAGAAGTACGCAGTATGGAATCCTTAGTCCACTAGAAGTACGCAGTATGGAATCCTTAGTCCACTAGAAGTACGCAGTATGGAATCCTTAGTCCACTAGAAGTACGCAGTATGGAATCCTTAGTCCACTAGAAGTACGCAGTATGGAATCCTTAGTCCACTAGAAGTACGCAGTATGGAATCCTTAGTCCACTAGAAGTACGCAGTATGGAATCCTTAGTCCACTAGAAGTACGCAGTATGGAATCCTTAGTCCACTAGAAGTACGCAGTATGGAATCCTTAGTCCACTAGAAGTACGCAGTATGGAATCCTTAGTCCACTAGAAGTACGCAGTATGGAATCCTTAGTCCACTAGAAGTACGCAGTATGGAATCCTTAGTCCACTAGAAGTACGCAGTATGGAATCCTTAGTCCACTAGAAGTACGCAGTATGGAATCCTTAGTCCACTAGAAGTACACAGTATGGAATCCTTAGTCCACTAGAAGTACACAGTATGGAATCCTTAGTCCACTAGAAGTACACAGTATGGAATCCTTAGTCCACTAGAAGTACACAGTATGGAATCCTTAGTCCACTAGAAGTACACAGTATGGAATCCTTAGTCCACTAGAAGTACACAGTATGGAATCCTTAGTCCACTAGAAGTACACAGTATGGAATCCTTAGTCCACTAGAAGTACACAGTATGGAATCCTTAGTCCACTAGAAGTACACAGTATGGAATCCTTAGTCCACTAGAAGTACACAGTATGGAATCCTTAGTCCACTAGAATACCTTTATTTACAATGTTTTTGATGGAGTGATGGAGAATACCAGTATTTGTAGTATGGGGGTTGTATATATTTGTAGTATGGGGGTTGTATATATTTGTAGTATGGGGGTTGTATATATTTGTAGTATGGGGGTTGTATATATTTGTAGTATTGGGTTGTATATTTATTGCCATTCTTGTAAGGAAATGCAGTTCTTTGTTTCCCCAAGATTAATCGTGTTTCACGAGGGTGAAGCCTTTAGTGAAACAAGATTAATCACTGACTTTTCTTAAGAGAGGATTGCTCCATATAAGGGAAATATGACTGGGAGACTAGAGTGTTTGAGGGTGACACAATGTTTTATTTCCCCATCATCTGATCATTATAATCGTGTCAGACATGCTGTTATATTAATGAGTTATAATAATATTAGAAATAGTTCATTTAGGTTTATTTCAATTCCCTCTCAAGTTTGACTCAATGCAACTACCAAATGTAACCTGTTTCATTTGCCGATGAATTTGACCAGATTAACTTTGCCTGTGTGTATGATTTTGCGAAGGGAGATAACTATTGACATGTTTATACATTTTTTATTAACCAAAAACGATCAATCAGCAAAATATTAAAATATTACCAGCTCAGTTACAAGTGGTAGGGACAAGTCATGTACTGCCCTAGAAATTCTCCCTACAGCTACCCATTCTGCCTTGTGCAACCCCCCCCCCCCCCCCCCCCCCTAAATGTATGTTTATGTGTGTTGTGACCCATATCTGATCAGCAGTATAGCATTTCAGACATTTGTAATGAACCCCTGTGGTAGATCCATGTGGTCCCATCTTATATGAAATACAGTTGAACAGCCAAATGTCATATCAAATGTTTCGTCCTTTCAAGCTACGTTTTGTTTCCTGTCTAATTCGACATTCAATTACTGCAGCTTCATATACCAGAAGATGAAGAACCTCAAAATTTAGCGGCTCTCCACTTCGAGCTAGTAAAAAGATGGCTGCCGTAGACTCGCAGCTGAGCCTGTGCACTGCGTCTAGACATTGTTCTTCCGCAATGACGCATCAGAAAATTTGATATCCTATGAATTTGGCAACAAAAATTAAATATGACATTTGAAATATGGTTTTGTGTTTTGTTTCTATATAATTTGGCATATCAACGTACACCATCATGTTGTATGATGGACTTTCAATGACAGACTTTATTTTTTTACATTACGTCAATACGTAGACTTGCACAAGCTCCAGAACCTGGGACAAACGATCAGAATGGACTTCTCAAGTTCCAATTATTGAAAAAGAAACATGATGATTGAAATATAAGGATTGAATCTTGCTTTGGTCAATTTCATGGGGGGATAAATTGAGTTGGTCTTGAAACAAATTCAACATGAACTGCTTCGCAGTTCATTAAATTAGTTTCAAAACCAACTCAATTCATCACCCAATGAAATCGACCAAAGCAAGATTCAATCCTTAAATGAACAAAACAACACTTAAGTAAAATCGCTGATTACAAATTGGTGCTTTGTAAAGTACTAGACATTGCACTGTACCTTGAGCAGTAGAGTAGATGACGGAGGGATGTTGCTCTCCCTAAACTCTGTCTTGTCCTCATACACAGGACTGTGGATATCACTGTCTAGTTTGACTGTTGTATTTATATCACGGCCATGTACGTCATATTTCCTGTCCAGCAGTCGACCAGCAACCTACATGTAATGATTATTTGATACTAACATTAAGAGTAGTCTCTTTTCTAACATATAGAGAATACATTGCAGATGGTTGGTGTCTGATATAAGTCTATTTTGGCAAGGGGGGTATCTTTGTAAAACCAACCAAAACGATTTGCCAATTTTACAAGAAAAGTTGATGATCTTAGGCAATGGTAAAGTCATGGAAAGAAATGTCATCTTCCTGAATGGCACTAAAATTGTCAAGAAAATAGAAAACCAGTAAATGCTATTCCTGATAATAATTTACATACTAAGATATTTAAATTAAATGTAAACCAAGTTATACATATGATATGTGAATAGACAGAAAATGCAGAATTAGATTTTAGCTTCACCAGTGTATGGCTACCTTTTCATGGAAGTCATAGAACATATGCACCGGAGCTGTGTTTGTACAATTCTAAATAGTATAGTACTGCTGTGATTCATTTGGGCCAACTATCCAGATATTTGCATTCAGAAACTGAATTATGTTTAATGCAATTTCTTATTAATTAATTCAAAAATAATTCTGTACACCAATCTCTTCACAAATGAGGTAAAAGTACACACAAGAACTAATCCCTAGAGAACATGACATGTCTTGGAGGTTTAAATGAGCCACCTAAAGGCAAAATAATCCACTTGTACTTATACACAAAACTTTGCCTAAAGTGTGACACAGTGTCTGTAGCACTGACAAGCCTTAAAGTTGATTATAATAAGATGTTAAGCTTACCTTGGTGAAACTGACCGAGTCTGGGAAGTACCTGCCACTATCTATGTACACATCAAATCCGTCACCTTTAAGGAAGGGGTCCTTAGGAGGGGCCTTTCTCTCCAAAGGCAGCCAGGTGTACTGAGGAATTCAAGGCATTGGCAATAAGAGGCAGCATACTTTTTACATTTCAGATTAACTTCGCGATTGTACACTAAAATCATGAGTCAGTTCTACACCAACATTTTACATAGCAAGTTGTTAGCATATCATATATTCTTATACAGTTAATGTTATACATAACTATTCATAATGATAGCAATCCTCGTCTCACGGCAGGAAAAACACAAGACAATTCATCTGTAGTGTTTTGTTCATACAGTGATTTCCCATTTGTTTTGTTTTAGATAGAAGATCCAGGGTTCAGAACCTGGTCTGACCCTGTTACTTTTTTACAGGCAGAAACGCTGTTGTTATCTTTTTGTTTATTTTATCTTTGTTCTTTTTACATTAAAAGTCCTGCAAAGTTTTCTTTTCTTTTCAAAAATGATTTATCAAAGCTGTAGTGATGTCGTGAAACATTTTCCAATGTGTGTACTTTTCAGTGGTAAAGGGATCTTTATAAATATGTAATTAATCTTTTATCCAATGTGTGTACTTTTCTGTGGTAAAGGGATCTTTATTGATATGTACTTAATCTTTTATCTAATGTGCATACTTTTCTGTGGTAAAGGGATCTTTATTAATATGTAATTAATCTTTTATCCAATGTGTGTACTTTTCTGTGGTAAAGGGATCTTTATTAATATGTACCTAATCTTTTATCCTATGTGTGTACTTTTCTGTGGTAAAGGGATCTTTATTGATATGTACTTAATCTTTTATCTAATGTGTGTACTTTTCTGTGGTAAAGGGATCTTTATTAATATGTACTTTATCTTTTATCCAATGTGTGTACTTTTCTGTGTTAAAGGGATCTTTATTAATATGTACCTAATCTTTTATCCAATGTGTGAACTTTTCTGTGGTAAAGGGATCTTTATTAATATGTGCTTTATCTTTTATCTAATGTGTGTACTTTTCTGTGGTAAAGGGATCTTTATTGATATGTACTTAATCTTTTATCCAATGTATGTACTTTTCTGTGTTGAAGGGATCTTTATTGATATGTACTTAATCTTTCATCCAATGTGTGTACTTTTCTGTGGTAAAGGGATCTTTATTAAGATGTACCTAATCTTTTATCCAATGTGTGTACTTTTCTGTGGAAAAGGGATCTTTATTAATATGTACCTAATCTTTTATCCTATGTGTGTACTTTTCTGTGGTAAAGGGATCTTTGTTGATATGTACTTAATCTTTTATCTAATGTGTGTACTTTTCTGTGGTAAAGGGATCTTTATTGATATCTACTTAATCTTTTATCTAATGTGTGTACTTTTCTGTGGTAAAGGGATCTTTGTTGATATGTACTTAATCTTTTATCTAATGTGTGTACGTTTCTGGGGAAAAGGCGTCTTTATTAATATGTACCTAATCTTTTATCCAATGTGTGAACTTTTCTGTGGTAAAGGGATCTTTATTAATATGTAATTAATCTTTTATCCAATGTGTGTACTTTTCTGTAGTAAAGGGATCTTTATTAATATGTACTTAATCTTTTATCCAATATGTGTACTTTTCTGTGTTAAAGGGATCTTTATTAATATGTACCTAATCTTTTATCCAATGTTCGTACTTTTCTGTGGTAAAGGGATCTTTATTAATATGTACTTAATCTTTTATCCAATGTGTGTACTTTTCTGTGTTAAAGGGATCTGTATTAATATGTACTTAATCTTTTATAGTCAACAACTTCGTTACATTTGTAATTGAATTACTATGAGCTTTTCCTTGTATATGAGTTTCCGGATTTTTCACACAAAACTGTATTCTGACCTCCATTATAACATTTAGAAGTCATGACCTTACTTCGGGCAAAACATCCTCTCCATCGTCCGAGTTCTCGCTGGGGGTGAGAGAGCCGGGCCGTGGCTCCCCCTGGAACATGTGTATCCTGAGAGTACTCTTTCCATAGCGATTCCAGTCCCTGTTGGTTGGGATGTCCTCAAATGGTATCTGCCCAGCCTCAACCACGGGTGGATAGAACAGCTTCATAGTGTGGGTCCCTGTGTTAATGTTCATTGTGCTTGGGTTAAAGTTTCTTCTAGATCTAGAGGTGATCTCTGAAAGAAAAAAGTTAGCATGAGTATTTGAATATTCATCATTATCAAAACTGGCCAAACACTGACAGGTCAGCACTTGCCAGATAAAGGTAGATATCATACCTAACATGGTCACAGCAGAACGGGAAAATAAGTTTTATACAAAACACAAAGTTCACTCTGGCAGACATTTTCCACTCATGTGAAGCTTGAAAACAGTCTTGCTATCAGACCCTGTTATCATCTGTATATGATATTAAATTGATTTTTTCTATTTTTAACTACAGCAAATTTTCAGTGACATTGATGTCATACCACAAAAACAATAGGGGTAATAAAACATAAACATACACTTATTTAGTTACTGCAATTGAGCTTTGAGAGTTTGTGTTATCCTACTGTTAACGGGAAGTTTTAGAAGTTGTAATATTTTGCAATTCAGCTCTAAAATCTTAAATTTGGCAATCTGTTATAAGCCGAAGGTTTTTAATTTGGCATTTGATAGGGTAAATAACCAGGTTATTTTGCTACCCAATAAATCAATCAATACACAGTAGGATGGCACTGGGTCTTTCTGTTTTCATCAAGAGTCTACAAAGTGTCGTCACTTTATTTGAAAATGAAATCAGGCATATATAATGTCAAATAAAGTAACATTTGATTTACCCATAATACAGTACAATAATTTTATGATTTATCAAAAAACTTACAATGGTATGAATAATTATGTTATGATATTCACAGGGATATAACGAAATGGTAAAATGAAATCTCTGTTTTACATTGAGGATTTTCGAGTACCCATGAAATGTGGCAGTTTCTACAGTAACTATCATAGGAAGCTATCACTTACGCGGGTCACTGGAGAGCACAATGGGGATTGCTCCCCAAGCTACCAGAGTCTCGTCGTCATAAAGTGTCACCTCCTGAGCGTTATCTTGTATCAAATAGTCGTCTATGTCATCTTGTTGTCGTTTGCGTAAATAGAAGCGTGCGATGAGTACCATGTCTCCCTGCATCTCAATATCACTAAAAGTGGCTTCTTGTTGGCCGAAGACATGGTAGCCATGTTTGAAGTTAGACCTGACAGCAGTAGTACTACATGTGACAGGTCCAGCAGAGGATTGTACAACCTGTAATATACAATAGTAGAGGATTGTACAACCTGTAATATACAATAGTAGAGGATTGTACAACCTGTAATATAAATCAATAGTAGAGGATTGTACAACCTGTAATATAAATCTACAGTAGAGGATTGTACAACCTGTAATATACAATAGTAGAGGATTGTACAACCTGTAATATACAATAGTAGAGGATTGTACAACCTGTAATATAAATCAATAGTAGAGGATTGTACAACCTGTAATATACAATAGTAGAGGATTGTACAACCTGTAATATAAATCAATAGTAGAGGATTGTACAACCTGTAATATACAATAGTAGAGGATTGTACAACCTGTAATATAAATCAATAGTAGAGGATTGTACAACCTGTAATATACAATAGTAGAGGATTGTACAACCTGTAATATAAATCAATAGTAGAGGATTGTACAACCTGTAATATACAATAGTAGAGGATTGTACAACCTGTAATATAAATCAATAGTAGAGGATTGTACAACCTGTAATATACAATAGTAGAGGATTGTACAACCTGTAATATAAATCAATAGTAGAGGATTGTACAACCTGTAATATACAATAGTAGAGGATTGTACAACCTGTAATATAAATCAATAGTAGAGGATTGTACAACCTGTAATATACAATAGTAGAGGATTGTACAACCTGTAATATAAATCAATAGTAGAGGATTGTACAACCTGTAATATACAATAGTAGAGGATTGTACAACCTGTAATATAAATCAATAGTAGAGGATTGTACAACCTGTAATATACAATAGTAGAGGATTGTACAACCTGTAATATAAATCAATAGTAGAGGATTGTACAACCTGTAATATACAATAGTAGAGGATTGTACAACCTGTAATATAAATCAATAGTAGAGGATTGTACAACCTGTAATATACAATAGTAGAGGATTGTACAACCTGTAATATAAATCAATAGTAGAGGATTGTACAACCTGTAATATACAATAGTAGAGGATTGTACAACCTGTAATATAAATCAATAGTAGAGGATTGTACAACCTGTAATATACAATAGTAGAGGATTGTACAACCTGTAATATAAATCAATAGTAGAGGATTGTACAACCTGTAATATACAATAGTAGAGGATTGTACAACCTGTAATATAAATCAATAGTAGAGGATTGTACAACCTGTAATATACAATAGTAGAGGATTGTACAACCTGTAATATAAATCAATAGTAGAGGATTGTACAACCTGTAATATACAATAGTAGAGGATTGTACAACCTGTAATATAAATCAATAGTAGAGGATTGTACAACCTGTAATATACAATAGTAGAGGATTGTACAACCTGTAATATATATCTATAGTAGAGGATTGTACAACCTGTAATAAACAATAGTAGAGGATTGTACAACCTGTAATATAAATCAATAGTAGAGGATTGTACAACCTGTAATATAAATCAATAGTAGAGGATTGTACGACCTGTTATATAAATCAATAGTAGATGATTGTACAACCTGTAATATACAATAGCAGAGGATTGTACAACCTGGAATATAAATCAATAGTAGATGATTGTACAACCTGTAACATACAATAGTAGAGGATTGTACAACCTGTATTATACAATAGTAGAGGATTGTACAACCTGAAATATACAATAGTAGAGGATTGTACAACCTGTCATATAAGTCAATAGTAGATGATTGTACACCCTGTAATATAAATCAATAGTAGAGGATTCTACGACCTGTTATATAAATCAATAGTAGACGATTGTACAACCTGTAATATACAATAGTAGAGGATTGTACAACCTGTAATATAAGTCAATAGTAGATGATTGTACAACCTGTAATATAAATCAATAGTAGAGGATTGTACAACATGTAATATAAATCAATACTAGAGGATTGTACAACCTGAAATATACAATAGTAGAGGATTGGACAACCTGTAATATACAAAAGTAGAGGATTGTACAACCTTTAATATATACAATACTAGAATATTGTACAACCTGTAATAGACAATAGTAGAGGATTGTGCAACCTGTAATATAAATAAACAGTAGAGGATTATATAACCTGTAATATAAAGCAATAGAAGAGGATTGTATAACCTGTAATAGACAAAAGTAGAGGATTGTACAACCTGTAATATAAATCAATAGTAGAGGATTGTACAACCTGTAATATATACAATACTAGAAGATTGTACAACCTGTAATATACAATAATAGAGGATTGTACAACCTGTAATATAAATCAATGGTAGTGGAGTGCACAACCTGTAATACAAGAGGCCTAGAGGATCTGTATCACTCACTTAGATATCTTAGCAATCATGGCAAAATATTCTCAAAATAAGATCCCAGGGATAGGGCAAGACCCCAAGGCTAATCCTTGTAGCATATCTGTATTAGACTTTTCATGCCCAGCAATAGTATGTATGGTTATGGGGTGGGGAACTCAAATGTTTGAAAGTTCAGACTCAGAAACTAGGTCCCTAGGGTTGTAGCCAGACCCCAGGGCCAATTCTAATATTGTGACTGTATTCATCTCTTTATGCCCAGCAATTGTATATATAATTTTGGGCTGGGGATCTCAACCGTTTCAAAGTTATGACCCAGGGGTTAAGTCTCTAACGGTGGGGCACACCCCGGGGACATTCTGAAAGCATCATGTGCATTCGTCTCTTTATACTCAGCAATTGTATATATGGTTATAGGGTGGGGATCTCAACTGTTTACAAGTTGTGACTCAGAAACTAGGTCCCTAGGGGTGTGGCCAGACCCAAGGGCCAATTCTAATATCATGATTGTGTTCCTCTCTTTATGACTAGCAATTGTATATTTAGTTTTGGGATGGGAATCTCAACCGTTTCAAAGTTATGACCCAGGGGTTAAGTCTCTAAGGGTGGGGCAGACCCCAGGGACATCCTGGAAGCATATGTGCATTTGTCTCTTTATACTCAGCAATTGCATATATGGTTATGGGGTGGGGATCTCAACTGTTTCCAAGTTCAGACTCAGAAACTAAGGGTTGTAGCCAGACCCCAGGGCCAATTCTAATATTGTGACTGTATTCATTTCTTTATGCCCAGCAATTGTATATATAATTTTGGGGTGGGGATCTCAACCGTTTCAAAATTATGACCCAGGGGTTAAGTCTCTAAGGGTGGGGCAGACCCCAGGGACATCCTGAAAGCATCATGTGCATTCGTCTCTTTATACTCAGTAATTGTATATATGGTTATATTGGTGGGGATCTCAACCATTATCAAGTATTGTCAAACAATGGGGGTTCGGGAAATTTAAAAGCAGTCCCATGGAAAAACAGCCGTTCATACTAATATTAACAGCTGGTTTTTGTGTCACATGTGCAGCTTTTAACCAATCACAGAACTTGTAACAAAGCACAAATTCAATTTTGGAATTATATGTAAATAACCTGGATTTTATAATCTACAATATATACACATAAAATATATATTGATATATATAAATAACTGTGGATTGTGTAATGTACTATATATACACATATAAGTCATATTAATGCCAATTACTGCTGCTTAAATATGCTCCATCCAATACTGCAATTACTTAATTGCCATCAATTCATTCATCACGAGTTCTTGACACACTGGTCACTGTACATGTATGTAATGTTAAATCCAACAGGACCTCAGGGTGTTAGAAGGATGACATATCATTTGGCACCAGATCAATCAAGATATCCTCACCCCATTTTTTTATCCTCAAACTCACCTTTCCAGTAGAAGCATAATAAGCAGTCAATCTCATTTTCCCCTCCCCCTGTTCGGCGTGCTTGACGCGGTCAACCTGGAATCCGATTGTTGTATCCTGTGGTTGGAGGGGGGCGTTGCGTATAGTAGGTAAGCGCTGTCCCTGGCGGCTGCTGTACCACAAAACACCATGGCACATTTTAACTTTATTGAATGTATATCGCATTGTCAGAACAATTTCAGAATCAGAAATGTATACTCTGATCTAAGAAATAAAGTTGAAAAGATTTTTAAAAAAACCCAATCATCACAATGACACAGCTAAATGGGTTTCATACAATCAAAGTAAACAGGAAAAGATCATTTAAACTAATGGTTGCATTTTGTAAGAAAAAACATGGATGATATTATTACAGTTTAATAACTTAAAAAAAAAAAAAAAAAAAAAAAAAGCATTGTTTATAGCTAACAGACATGTTATCAATGTTTTTATTTCTAAAAGCTCCGCACTATTCTAAAATATGACAAGAATTGTGAATGACTAAAAAGTTAGTGATCTTTACTAAACGTAGAAATAGGTAAGTGGTGATGATGACTTTATTACAACTAACAATCAATTTGTATTAATGAACAAAATCATAAAGTTGTTTAATATTTAAGAAAATATTTAGAGCAACAAGGAAATTAGGAATTGTGCAATCAATGACTTTGGGTAACACAACATTAAAATAACTTACAAAAATTCAAATTGTTTAATCAGCACTGTTAGTTAAAAATACTTAACATATGTACATGGGTTTGAAAAGACATACGGGACATTTGGGTAAAAACTTTCTGGTCTGTCTTTTGGCAAAACTTTTCTGTCTGCAACAAGAGAACTCAGAAAACCGGCACAGTGCCATGTATTCACTTTGGAAAAGTTAAAACATTGATTCATTCTTGTTACGATTGCAAGAACTTTTATTTCTCCTTTCCATATACTGATCACTAAAAGTACCCGCCATTATTACCATGATATAATAGAGTGTTACTGAAACTTTGTGAATAATGTGCTTTGATGTCAGATTTAAGGATATATACTTGATATACAAACTTTTGCGTCGTAGGATATACAGCCCATTTATATACTAAATTCCCAATACTATCTTGCTTGCCGTTGTTGCAAAGGTAATGTGAGAGTTTTGCTCTAGGCATTGTTATATAATCTCAGTGTTCCAAGTGTTGCCAAAACACGTCCATGGGTTTGTAATCGTAGGGAGAATGGAGACACGTCCATGGGTTGGTAATCGTAGGGAGAATAGAGACACGTCCATGGGTTTGTAATCATAGGGAGAATGGAGACACGTCCATGGGTTTGTAATCGTAGGGAGAATGGAAACACGTCCATGGGTTTGTAATCGTAGGGAGAATGGAGACACGTCCATGGGTTTGTAATNAATTAGATAGCAGTGGTGCTCTATGAGAAGACACACCTACTATACAGATCTACTAGGCCAGTGATAACTGTATTAGATATAATTAGATAGCAGTGGTGCTCTATGAGAAGACACACCTACTATACAGATCTACTAGGCCAGTGATAACTGTATTAGATATAATTAGATAGCAGTGGTGCTCTATGAGAAGACACACCTACTATACAGATCTACTAGGCCAGTGATAACTGTATTAGATATAATTAGATAGCAGTGGTGCTCTATGAGAAGACACACCTACTATACAGATCTACTAGGCCAGTGATAACTGTATTAGATATAATTAGATAGCAGTGGTGCTCTATGAGAAGACACACCTACTATACAGATCTACTAGGCCAGTGATAACTGTATTAGATATAATTAGATAGCAGTGGTGCTCTATGAGAAGACACACCTACTATACAGATCTACTAGGCCAGTGATAACTGTATTAGATATAATTAGATAGCAGTGGTGCTCTATGAGAAGACACACCTACTATACAGATCTACTAGGCCAGTGATAACTGTATTAGATATAATTAGATAGCAGTGGTGCTCTATGAGAAGACACACCTACTATACAGATCTACTAGGCCAGTGATAACTGTATTAGATATAATTAGATAGCAGTGGTGCTCTATGAGAAGACACACCTACTATACAGATCTACTAGGCCAGTGATAACTGTATTAGATATAATTAGATAGCAGTGGTGCTCTATGAGAAGACACACCTACTATACAGATCTACTAGGCCAGTGATAACTGTATTAGATATAATTAGATAGCAGTGGTGCTCTATGAGAAGACACACCTACTATACAGATCTACTAGGCCAGTGATAACTGTATTAGATATAATTAGATAGCAGTGGTGCTCTATGAGAAGACACACCTACTATACAGATCTACTAGGCCAGTGATAACTGTATTAGATATAATTAGATAGCAGTGGTGCTCTATGAGAAGACACACCTACTATACAGATCTACTAGGCCAGTGATAACTGTATTAGATATAATTAGATAGCAGTGGTGCTCTATGAGAAGACACACCTACTATACAGATCTACTAGGCCAGTGATAACTGTATTAGATATAATTAGATAGCAGTGGTGCTCTATGAGAAGACACACCTACTATACAGATCTACTAGGCCAGTGATAACTGTATTAGATATAATTAGATAGCAGTGGTGCTCTATGAGAAGACACACCTACTATACAGATCTACTAGGCCAGTGATAACTGTATTAGATATAATTAGATAGCAGTGGTGCTCTATGAGAAGACACACCTACTATACAGATCTACTAGGCCAGTGATAACTGTATTAGATATAATTAGATAGCAGTGGTGCTCTATGAGAAGACACACCTACTATACAGATCTACTAGGCCAGTGATAACTGTATTAGATATAATTAGATAGCAGTGGTGCTCTATGAGAAGACACACCTACTATACAGATCTACTAGGCCAGTGATAACTGTATTAGATATAATTAGATAGCAGTGGTGCTCTATGAGAAGACACACCTACTATACAGATCTACTAGGCCAGTGATAACTGTATTAGATATAATTAGATAGCAGTGGTGCTCTATGAGAAGACACACCTACTATACAGATCTACTAGGCCAGTGATAACTGTATTAGATATAATTAGATAGCAGTGGTGCTCTATGAGAAGACACACCTACTATACAGATCTACTAGGCCAGTGATAACTGTATTAGATATAATTAGATAGCAGTGGTGCTCTATGAGAAGACACACCTACTATACAGATCTACTAGGCCAGTGATAACTGTATTAGATATAATTAGATAGCAGTGGTGCTCTATGAGAAGACACACCTACTATACAGATCTACTAGGCCAGTGATAACTGTATTAGATATAATTAGATAGCAGTGGTGCTCTATGAGAAGACACACCTACTATACAGATCTACTAGGCCAGTGATAACTGTATTAGATATAATTAGATAGCAGTGGTGCTCTATGAGAAGACACACCTACTATACAGATCTACTAGGCCAGTGATAACTGTATTAGATATAATTAGATAGCAGTGGTGCTCTATGAGAAGACACACCTACTATACAGATCTACTAGGCCAGTGATAACTGTATTAGATATAATTAGATAGCAGTGGTGCTCTATGAGAAGACACACCTACTATACAGATCTACTAGGCCAGTGATAACTGTATTAGATATAATTAGATAGCAGTGGTGCTCTATGAGAAGACACACCTACTATACAGATCTACTAGGCCAGTGATAACTGTATTAGATATAATTAGATAGCAGTGGTGCTCTATGAGAAGACACACCTACTATACAGATCTACTAGGCCAGTGATAACTGTATTAGATATAATTAGATAGCAGTGGTGCTCTATGAGAAGACACACCTACTATACAGATCTACTAGGCCAGTGATAACTGTATTAGATATAATTAGATAGCAGTGGTGCTCTATGAGAAGACACACCTACTATACAGATCTACTAGGCCAGTGATAACTGTATTAGATATAATTAGATAGCAGTGGTGCTCTATGAGAAGACACACCTACTATACAGATCTACTAGGCCAGTGATAACTGTATTAGATATAATTAGATAGCAGTGGTGCTCTATGAGAAGACACACCTACTATACAGATCTACTAGGCCAGTGATAACTGTATTAGATATAATTAGATAGCAGTGGTGCTCTATGAGAAGACACACCTACTATACAGATCTACTAGGCCAGTGATAACTGTATTAGATATAATTAGATAGCAGTGGTGCTCTATGAGAAGACACACCTACTATACAGATCTACTAGGCCAGTGATAACTGTATTAGATATAATTAGATAGCAGTGGTGCTCTATGAGAAGACACACCTACTATACAGATCTACTAGGCCAGTGATAACTGTATTAGATATAATTAGATAGCAGTGGTGCTCTATGAGAAGACACACCTACTATACAGATCTACTAGGCCAGTGATAACTGTATTAGATATAATTAGATAGCAGTGGTGCTCTATGAGAAGACACACCTACTATACAGATCTACTAGGCCAGTGATAACTGTATTAGATATAATTAGATAGCAGTGGTGCTCTATGAGAAGACACACCTACTATACAGATCTACTAGGCCAGTGATAACTGTATTAGATATAATTAGATAGCAGTGGTGCTCTATGAGAAGACACACCTACTATACAGATCTACTAGGCCAGTGATAACTGTATTAGATATAATTAGATAGCAGTGGTGCTCTATGAGAAGACACACCTACTATACAGATCTACTAGGCCAGTGATAACTGTATTAGATATAATTAGATAGCAGTGGTGCTCTATGAGAAGACACACCTACTATACAGATCTACTAGGCCAGTGATAACTGTATTAGATATAATTAGATAGCAGTGGTGCTCTATGAGAAGACACACCTACTATACAGATCTACTAGGCCAGTGATAACTGTATTAGATATAATTAGATAGCAGTGGTGCTCTATGAGAAGACACACCTACTATACAGATCTACTAGGCCAGTGATAACTGTATTAGATATAATTAGATAGCAGTGGTGCTCTATGAGAAGACACACCTACTATACAGATCTACTAGGCCAGTGATAACTGTATTAGATATAATTAGATAGCAGTGGTGCTCTATGAGAAGACACACCTACTATACAGATCTACTAGGCCAGTGATAACTGTATTAGATATAATTAGATAGCAGTGGTGCTCTATGAGAAGACACACCTACTATACAGATCTACTAGGCCAGTGATAACTGTATTAGATATAATTAGATAGCAGTGGTGCTCTATGAGAAGACACACCTACTATACAGATCTACTAGGCCAGTGATAACTGTATTAGATATAATTAGATAGCAGTGGTGCTCTATGAGAAGACACACCTACTATACAGATCTACTAGGCCAGTGATAACTGTATTAGATATAATTAGATAGCAGTGGTGCTCTATGAGAAGACACACCTACTATACAGATCTACTAGGCCAGTGATAACTGTATTAGATATAATTAGATAGCAGTGGTGCTCTATGAGAAGACACACCTACTATACAGATCTACTAGGCCAGTGATAACTGTATTAGATATAATTAGATAGCAGTGGTGCTCTATGAGAAGACACACCTACTATACAGATCTACTAGGCCAGTGATAACTGTATTAGATATAATTAGATAGCAGTGGTGCTCTATGAGAAGACACACCTACTATACAGATCTACTAGGCCAGTGATAACTGTATTAGATATAATTAGATAGCAGTGGTGCTCTATGAGAAGACACACCTACTATACAGATCTACTAGGCCAGTGATAACTGTATTAGATATAATTAGATAGCAGTGGTGCTCTATGAGAAGACACACCTACTATACAGATCTACTAGGCCAGTGATAACTGTATTAGATATAATTAGATAGCAGTGGTGCTCTATGAGAAGACACACCTACTATACAGATCTACTAGGCCAGTGATAACTGTATTAGATATAATTAGATAGCAGTGGTGCTCTATGAGAAGACACACCTACTATACAGATCTACTAGGCCAGTGATAACTGTATTAGATATAATTAGATAGCAGTGGTGCTCTATGAGAAGACACACCTACTATACAGATCTACTAGGCCAGTGATAACTGTATTAGATATAATTAGATAGCAGTGGTGCTCTATGAGAAGACACACCTACTATACAGATCTACTAGGCCAGTGATAACTGTATTAGATATAATTAGATAGCAGTGGTGCTCTATGAGAAGACACACCTACTATACAGATCTACTAGGCCAGTGATAACTGTATTAGATATAATTAGATAGCAGTGGTGCTCTATGAGAAGACACACCTACTATACAGATCTACTAGGCCAGTGATAACTGTATTAGATATAATTAGATAGCAGTGGTGCTCTATGAGAAGACACACCTACTATACAGATCTACTAGGCCAGTGATAACTGTATTAGATATAATTAGATAGCAGTGGTGCTCTATGAGAAGACACACCTACTATACAGATCTACTAGGCCAGTGATAACTGTATTAGATATAATTAGATAGCAGTGGTGCTCTATGAGAAGACACACCTACTATACAGATCTACTAGGCCAGTGATAACTGTATTAGATATAATTAGATAGCAGTGGTGCTCTATGAGAAGACACACCTACTATACAGATCTACTAGGCCAGTGATAACTGTATTAGATATAATTAGATAGCAGTGGTGCTCTATGAGAAGACACACCTACTATACAGATCTACTAGGCCAGTGATAACTGTATTAGATATAATTAGATAGCAGTGGTGCTCTATGAGAAGACACACCTACTATACAGATCTACTAGGCCAGTGATAACTGTATTAGATATAATTAGATAGCAGTGGTGCTCTATGAGAAGACACACCTACTATACAGATCTACTAGGCCAGTGATAACTGTATTAGATATAATTAGATAGCAGTGGTGCTCTATGAGAAGACACACCTACTATACAGATCTACTAGGCCAGTGATAACTGTATTAGATATAATTAGATAGCAGTGGTGCTCTATGAGAAGACACACCTACTATACAGATCTACTAGGCCAGTGATAACTGTATTAGATATAATTAGATAGCAGTGGTGCTCTATGAGAAGACACACCTACTATACAGATCTACAAACAAATCTCCTCCTCCCCTCTGGTCCAAGACACCAACAACATTACAAGTTACTCAACAATAATTACAATCATGATTTCCTGGAGCTAGTGCATACAATTTTATACATGAACACATGCACCAGTGAGAATGTGTAAGTACAACAAAGGGGAGAAAGGATGAGCTGTCTGGGGTGAGCATCATATCAGTTTATGTCCCCTAGAACATGCTGGCAACAGGGGCATTTTAACCTGCCTCACCTGCTAGTTTGGTATTATAAATGGTATAAATGAATTCAATCGTGTCTGATCTATTTAAATTCATCAGCACTGAATAATGAAAACTTTGAATTATCAAAAATGTTTTGATGGAATCATTTTGAAAATGACGTGACATTACTGAGCTCAAACAAGATTACATTTTATGCAGAAAGTACCTGCACAACAAATTGTATTGTTTCTCTGGTCTATATGGCATATAGATAATAGTCAACTTCACTTCTTTCTATTGTTGACCTAACATAGAACTAAAATGCCTAGTGTCTTTGTCATAGCGTTAAACAAGAGGACAAAAGCAGGAACTTTGAGGTTAAATCATGGAGCCAGCATGTTTGGTGTTCACTGTATATTCTTAGTGCTATAATGTTGTCAATATCATCGGTGATCCTACCTGTAGCGAATGCCCTCTCCTGCTGACCCTGGGATAGAGGCGGAGGGGGGAGGAGGGAGAATTTGTGGTGAAAAGGGTTTATGATTCGGGGGTGGTAGAGGAATCTGAAATGAAAGTCAATACACAACTGTACAATAAAGCAAAGAGATCTACATCAAAGTTCCTATATATACTACTGTTGGTGAGCTAATTTACAATGTCTAGATGTGATGGTTAAACAAAGGTAAGCTAAAATATAAACTGCCTTAACTTGTGACAGCTACCAGTATATGTTAGTAAACACAACGAGTTCCTTGAAAATTTATATAACTTTGAAGCATTTTGAAATGATTATTGAAAAGAATCATTAACTAAATAATGTAGTATGTATTGCTGTATAATGTAGTATATATTGCTGTATAATGTAGTATATATTACTGTATAATGTAGTATATATTGCTGTATAATGTAGTATGTATTGCTGTATAATGTAGTATATATTACTGTATAATGTAGTATATATTGCTGTATAATGTAGTATGTATTGCTGTATAATGTAGTATGTATTCCTATAGCTTAAGACGGTTTTATTTACACATGTATTGTGTGCAGGAAACTCCAATTATTCAACAGGGATTCTGTTTCTACCATTTGACATTCGCATATAACCACCATTTGATTTTGTGTACTGAGCAATTTTGAAAACCTCTCAAATGTTTTTTGTTGTTTTATTTTTTTAATGAAAAGCAAGAGGCCCAGAGGTCCTGTATCGCTAGCCTGGATAATTAAGCAACCATGAAAAAATATTCTCATTAAATATAATACTGCAACATTTTCCAAATATTGGCTTGAGCTGTCTCTCAGCAACATCTGTCCAGCATTGGATCTCTCTGCTCCCATGAAGTGGGGTTGACTTAAATTTTTTATGTCAATTTCTCCAATTGGGCCCTCAAATCATACCGAAAGGGAAGAAAGATTTACCTCCAGTTCCCCATTGAGCCTTAATCCTCGGACCCCATGGGGCAACAACCTCCATTTATACAAAGTAGAGTTCCCTTTTCCCAAGGATGCTCTGCACAAAACTTATAAGCATAGGAGCACAACAGGGACCACACATAGACATGAATCTGTGGACGATAGCCGCTGTGACAGCCTATCCATATCTGAGGAGCAGTCTTACCTCTGGGCGTGACCTGGACAGGCCTAAGACTTTTTGAATCACAAGAGGGTCTGGTAAGCAGCCCCTAACCCCCTAGCGTCGGCCGAAACACAGACTTCCGTCAGTGAAAGGAAGACGTAAAACCAGTTACCAACTAACCAACTGAAGGAGAAGAATATTAGACATGTATCCCTATGTTACCAAACTGGGACCTACCCCTCTGCCTAAAGGGGGAACACACTCTCTGAAAAAAAGGTCCCCCCTTACAAATGATGTTCTGGACCAAATTTGGTGAAAATCCCTCTAATCATACTGAATGAGAAAGATTTTATAAGTTAAACTCAATTTCCCGTATAGGGCCCCACCTCTCTGCCCCCAAGCGGCCACACCCTCCGTTATTATAAAAGTGAGTCCCCTTGGCCTAAGAATGCTCTACCACAATTCAAATCCATCCAATCGTACTAAAGGAGAAGGACTTTAAACATTTATTTTGATGTTCCCCATATTTGGCCCTGCTCCTCTGCCCCCAAGGAGGCCTAACTCTCCATTAATACAACATTAGGTCCCCTTAACCGAGGATGCTCCAGGCCAAATTTTGTCAAAATTACCTGAGCCAGGACTAGCAGCGTTTGAAAGGTAAAGTTGATAGACAGACGATGGACGCCTCGCCATGGCATAAGTTCACTTGCCATTTGGGCAGGTGAGCTAAAATTCATTAATTATTATGAAGTATGAAAAGCAGCATACACAGAATATCACAAGGTTAAGGTGTTTAGTAAGCACACTAATAAGGACATACATTTGGTGCTCGGTACTGGTTTTGGTTGTTGGCCGATATCTGGTTCATTGACTGGATCTCCATGTCTCTCATGTTGACCAGGCGGTAGTATAACTCACAGTCTCCATACTGAAATGACATAACCAACAATTAGAAGTAACCTATGCCCATTATTTCTATAATTAAAACAGTCTCCATAATAGTGTAATCCCAATTCTGAATGATATCCTATCAACTTTAAATGAATGAGTCAAATAAGTTAAATACAGTCCTACAATCAGCTGTGATCCCTGGGTTAACCAATGATAAATACAGTCCTACAATCATCTGTGATTCCTGGGTTAACCAAGGCTCAATACAGCCGTGATCCCTGCGTTAACCAATGATCAATCCAGTCCTACAATCAGCTGCGATCCCTGGGTCAACCAATGATCAATACAGTCCTACAATCAGCTGTGATTCCTGGGTCAAACAATAATTACAATCAGCCGTGATCCCTGGGTTAACCAATGATCAATACAGTCGTACAATCAGCTGTGATCCCTGGGTTAACCAATGATCAATACAGTCGTACAATCAGCTGTGATCCCTGGGTTAACCAATGACCAATACAGTCCTACAATCAGCTGTGATCCCTGGGTTAACCAATGACCAATACAGTCCTACAATCAGCTGTGATCCCTGGGTCGATCAATGATCAATACAGTCCTACAATCAGCTGTGATCCCTGGGTTAACCAATGATCAATACAGTCCTACAATCAACTGTGATCCCTGGGTCAAACAATGATCAATACAGTCCTACAATCAGCTGTGATCCCTGAGTTAACCAATGATCATTATAGTCCTACAATCAGCTGTGATCCCTGGGACAACAAATGATCAAAATAGTCCTACAGTCAGCTGTGATTCCTGGGTTAACCAATGATGAATACAGTCCTACAATCAGCTGTGATCCCTGGGTTAACCATTATGATCAATACAGTCCTACAATCAGCTGTGATCCCTGGGTTAACCAATGATCAATACAGTCCTACAATCAGCTGTGATCCCTGGGTTAACCAATGATCAATACAGTCCTACAATCAGCTGTGATCCCTGGGTTAACCAATGATCAATACAGTCCTACAATCAGCTGTGATCCCTGGGTTAACCAATGATCAATACAGTCCTACAATCAGCTGTGATCCCTGGGTTAACCAATGATCAATACAGTCCTACAATCAGCTGTGATCCCTGGGTTAACCAATGATCAATACAGTCCTACAATCAGCTGTGATCCCTGGGTTAACCAATGATCAATACAGTCCTACAATCAGCTGTGATCCCTGGGTTAACCAATGATCAATACAGTCCTACAATCAGCTGTGATCCCTGGGTTAACCAATGATCAATACAGTCCTACAATCAGCTGTGATCCCTGGGTTAACCAATGATCAATACAGTCCTACAATCAGCTGTGATCCCTGGGTTAACCAATGATCAATACAGTCCTACAATCAGCTGTGATCCCTGGGTTAACCAATGATCAATACAGTCCTACAATCAGCTGTGATCCCTGGGTTAACCAATGATCAATACAGTCCTACAATCAGCTGTGATCCCTGGGTTAACCAATGATCAATACAGTCCTACAATCAGCTGTGATCCCTGGGTTAACCAATGATCAATACAGTCCTACAATCAGCTGTGATCCCTGGGTTAACCAATGATCAATACAGTCCTACAATCAGCTGTGATCCCTGGGTTAACCAATGATCAATACAGTCCTACAATCAGCTGTGATCCCTGGGTTAACCAATGATCAATACAGTCTTACAATCAGCTGTGATCCCTGGGTTAACCAATGATCAATACAGTCCTACAATCAGCTGTGATCCCTGGGTTAACCAATGATCAATACAGTCCTACAATCAGCTGTGATCCCTGGGTTAACCAATGATCAATACAGTCCTACAATCAGCTGTGATCCCTGGGTTAACCAATGATCAATACAGTCCTACAATCAGCTGTGATCCCTGGGTTAACCAATGATCAATACAGTCCTACAATCAGCTGTGATCCCTGGGTTAACCAATGATCAATACAGTCCTACAATCAGCTGTGATCCCTGGGTTAACCAATGATCAATACAGTCCTACAATCAGCTGTGATCCCTGGGTTAACCAATGATCAATACAGTCCTACAATCAGCTGTGATCCCTGGGTTAACCAATGATCAATACAGTCCTACAATCAGCTGTGATCCCTGGGTTAACCAATGATCAATACAGTCCTACAATCAGCTGTGATCCCTGGGTTAACCAATGATCAATACAGTCCTACAATCAGCTGTGATCCCTGGGTTAACCAATGATCAATACAGTCCTACAATCAGCTGTGATCCCTGGGTTAACCAATGATCAATACAGTCCTACAATCAGCTGTGATCCCTGGGTTAACCAATGATCAATACAGTCCTACAATCAGCTGTGATCCCTGGGTTAACCAATGATCAATACAGTCCTACAATCAGCTGTGATCCCTGGGTTAACCAATGATCAATACAGTCCTACAATCAGCTGTGATCCCTGGGTTAACCAATGATCAATACAGTCCTACAATCAGCTGTGATCCCTGGGTTAACCAATGATCAATACAGTCCTACAATCAGCTGTGATCCCTGGGTTAACCAATGATCAATACAGTCCTACAATCAGCTGTGATCCCTGGGTTAACCAATGATCAATACAGTCCTACAATCAGCTGTGATCCCTGGGTTAACCAATGATCAATACAGTCCTACAATCAGCTGTGATCCCTGGGTTAACCAATGATCAATACAGTCCTACAATCAGCTGTGATCCCTGGGTTAACCAATGATCAATACAGTCCTACAATCAGCTGTGATCCCTGGGTTAACCAATGATCAATACAGTCCTACAATCAGCTGTGATCCCTGGGTTAACCAATGATCAATACAGTCCTACAATCAGCTGTGATCCCTGGGTTAACCAATGATCAATACAGTCCTACAATCAGCTGTGATCCCTGGGTTAACCAATGATCAATACAGTCCTACAATCAGCTGTGATCCCTGGGTTAACCAATGATCAATACAGTCCTACAATCAGCTGTGATCCCTGGGTTAACCAATGATCAATACAGTCCTACAATCAGCTGTGATCCCTGGGTCAATCAATGATCAATACAGTCCTACAATCAGCTGTGATCCCTGGGTCAAACAATGATTACAATCAGTTATGATCCCTGGGTTAACCAATGATCATTATAGTCCTACGATCAGCTGTGATCCCTGGGTTAACCAAAGATCAATATAGTCCTACAATCAGCTGTGATCCCTGGGTTAACCAATGATCAATACAGTCCTACAATCAGCTGTGATCCTTGGGTTAACCAATGATCAATACAGTCCTACAATCAGCTGTGATTCCTTGATCAATACAGTCCTATAATCAGCTGTGATCCCTGGGATAGCCAATGATCAATACAGTACTACAATCAGCTGTGATCCCTAGGTTAACCATTATGATCAATACAGTCCTACACTCAGCTGTGATCCCTGGGTCAACCAATGATCAATACAGTCGTACAATCAGCTGTGATCCCTGCTGTGATTCCTGGGTTAACCAATGATCAATACAGTCCTACAATCAGCTGTGATTACTGGGTCAAACAATGATTACAATCAGCTGTGATCCCTGGGTTAACTAATGATCAATACAGTCCTACAATCATCTGTGATCCCTGGGTTAACCATTATGATCAATACAGTCCGACAATCAGCTGTGATTACTGGGTCAAACAATAATTACAATCAGCTGTGATCCCTGGGTTAGCCAATGATCAATACAGTACTACAATCAGCTGTGATCCCTGGGTCAATCAATGACCAATATAGTCCTACAATCAGCTGTGATCCCTGCTGTGATTCCTGGGTTAACCAATGATTAATACAGTCCTACAATCAGCTGTGACCCCTGGGTTAACCAATGATCAATCCCGGCCTACAAGCAGCTGTGATTCCTGGGTCAAACAATTATTACACTCAGCTGTGATCCCTGGGTTAACCACCGATCAATACAGTCCTACAATCAGCTGGGATCCCTGGGTCAATCAATGATCAATACAGTCCTACAATCACCTGTGATTCCTGGGTCAAACAATGATCAATACAGTCCTACAATCAGCTGAGATCCCTGGGACAACAAATGATCAATACTGTCCTACAATCACCTGTGATCCCTAGGTTAACCAATGATCAATACAGTCCTCCGATCAGCTGTGCTCCCTGGGTTAACCAAAGATCAATATAGTCCTACAATCAGCTGTTATTCCTAGGTCAAACAATGATTACAATCAGCTGTGATCCCTGGGGTAACCAATGATCAATACAGTCTTACAATCAGCTGTGATCCCTGGGTCAAACAATGATTACAATCAGCTGTGATCCCTGGGGTAACCAATGATCAATACAGTCTTACAATCAGCTGTGATCCCTGGGTCCATCAATGATCAATACTGTCCTACAATCAGCTGTGATCCCTGCTGTGATTCCTGGGTTAACCAATGATTAATACAGTCCTACAATCAGCTGTGATTACTGGGTCAAACAATGATTACAATCAGCTGTGATCCCTGGGGTAACCAATGATCAATACAGTCTTACAATCAGCTGTGATCCCTGGGTTAACCATTATGATTAATACAGTCCTACAATCAGCTGTGATCCATGGGTTTACCAATATGATCAATACAGTCCTACAATCAGCGGTGAGCCCTGGTTTATCCAATGATCAATATAGTCCTACAATCAGCTGTAATTCCTGGATTAACCAATGATCAATTCAGTCCTACAATCAGCTGTGATCCCTGGGTCAAACAATGATTACAATCAGCTGTGATCCCTGGGGTAACCAATGATCAATACAGTCTTACAATCAGCTGTGATCCCTGGGTTACCCAATGATCATTACAGTTCTACAATCAACTGTGATCCCTGGGACAATCAATGATCAATACTGTCCTACAATCAGCTGTGATCCCTGGGACAACAAATGATCAATACTGTCCTACAATCACCTGTGATCCCTAGGTTAACCAATGATCAATACAGTCCTCCGATCAGCTGTGCTCCCTGGGTTAACCAAAGATCAATATAGTCCTACAATCAGCTGTGATCCCTGGGTTAACCATTATGATCAATATAGTCCTACAATCAGCTGTGATTCCTAGGTCAAACAATGATTACAATCAGCTGTGATCCCTGGGTCAATCAATGATCAATACTGTCCTACAATCACCTGTGATCCCTAGGTTAACCAATGATCAATACAGTCCTACAATCAGCTGTGATCCCTGGGTCAACCAATGATCAATACAGTCCTACAATCAGCTGTGATCCCTGGGTCAACCAATGATCAATACAGTCCTACAATCAGCTGTGATCCCTGGGTCAACCAATGATTACAATCAGCTGTGATTCCTGGGTCAAACATTGATCAATATAGTCCATGTTTAATCATCTCTTACCTTTTGGAGGGTCTGTAACTGACTAGCATGAAAGAATGGCTTGATGGGAACATTCCGGAATGGTATACGGAATTTCCCAGCCATAAGTCTCTGCTCATTGTCAAATATGGGGATTTTGACCCATGCTCGGGTGATGAGGCTATGTCGGTCATAGTCGGAGGCTGGTCCTCCTGACAGCTGTAACTCCACAACTATACCCAGGTCTGAGCTAGGAGGGCATCTGCACACAAACCACACAATAATTAAACGGTAATGTATAGTCAACAAGCAAAACATAAAGATTAAAACAATGAGAGAAAGGTAGATAACTAAGCTATCTCTGTCTACCTCTGAGAGGAAGGGAGATAACTATGTTGTCTCTGCCTTAACTCTGTGAGGAAGGGAGATAACTCTGTTGTCTCTGCCTTAACTCTATCTTTCTTATATCTATATTGGCTAACACATTCCAATTCATCTACCAAATAAATACTACTGCTACAATCATTTTCATTACAAACTTTATAAAAATTACACAACATTTGCAATAAGTCAGAAAGTGTTTGAGGCCGGCTACATACTTTGGAACAGGCTGACGAGCCCCAATCACAGCGTTGGATACATTTTGCATGTAGGTGGCTCTGGTGGCCGGCTCACAGTAAACAGTGGGCAGGACGGTCGGCTCACCCATGGCCTGGGAGGTGCTGTGTAGACCCACAATGAGTCGACATGCCGACACACTCGGCTCAAGGTTCAGTACAAAATCGTAGAATATCACAAAACCTGCACTGAAATAGAAATAATTCTTCATGCTATCTTTAACGAAGTCACATACAGAGGAATCGGAGGGTCCTAATAATCTTAAGGACTCCACTTATGGATATTTATATTCAGAAACTGAAGTAACTTTTAATTACACACTATATTGTTTTATTAATTATCCTGCCATGTTAAGCTGATTGTTCAAAGATGCTGTATAAATAAGATTGCTAGAGATAACAAGACTATTCTCCAGAATTTCATTAATTGTGAATTCGAAGAACAAAAACAGTTATGGAAGTGTCAACACAGATTACCTTTACAGTAACAATTTTACTATTGACATATTGATGTTAAAATTCCCCCCTCGGTTGTTCTAGACTCTGTAAGCCAAGACTGTGTAAAGGGGGTATTACCAGGTATAGGACGGAATCTTCATTAATAGGCTGTTATTGTAGTTTGTAATATTTCTACTTCATATTACACCTGTAATACTTGATGTCATTAACAAACAATTATTTGGATGAATTACAAAACAAACCAAAAATTAATTTATCATTTAACATTCTTCCAAAAATGGTAAGAATTTCGCAAGATTATATAAGTTAAATTCAAGTATAAAGTTTTCATGTTTTGTTTTAAGAAAATCTAAAAGTCTTTACCAAATACACTGGGGAGGTCTTACTAAGTCAAACAGAATAGATGGCTGTATTAGTTACCATGGTGACAAAGTATCACACCACCTCTACCTGAAGGACACTGCCAACCTTACCTTACAGCTAGGCAACTTAACACAAACTTTATAGCTGGGTTTCTTTATTATTATTAACTACATGAAATGGGATTCCAGTATCATGATTATAACAGATATAAAAGTAAACATGATACATATCACCATTTTCCTGAACAATCAGTTTTAATACAGTGCATACAAGTTTCTTTTAAGCATCAAGTTGACAAATCTTTGAAGACATTGCTCCTAGTATTCTGGTGTAAATGGCTGTGATATCCACCTATACAAATAAGTTATGAGGCTTTCTCCTTCACAAAACCCTCACTTTCAAATTGATCAACATGGCAGAAGGACTGGACCAGCTCCATGACGACAAACAGACAACAAGCAGGACAGACCTATTTACATTCTAAATGGTGTACATATAAAGTCACACAGCAGATGTAGCTCCTTGTACAATATATGTTTATCTAATGTGCATGCCTGTGTTTAGATCTGTTACTTTGACCTTTAATGTAAGAAACTTAACCCACCACTTCATTCCACAAGATAGCTTCATACTCAATAGACATTCATGATGTCAGATGCTATAGGTGTCTTCAAAGTTTTAAATATTTCAGTAAAGGTACCGCCTGTGTAGTGAATGATACAACCTGATGGTAGAATGTCTAACAGGAATACCTGGTAATACCTAGGTATGCAATTATGCTTAGAAATATATTCAGTTCATATTTTAATAAAAGTTCTGATCATTTTAATGTTGCTAACACTGGCATTACTTGTGTCAGTGAAGCTGGCAGTGTTAAAAAACATTACCGGTAGACACTTTTTACCGAGGCCAGCTAAGATGCTAATTTACAAGTCTTTCGTTTTATCACATTTTGACTACTGTTCTCTTATTTGTCATTTGTATAGCCAGACTGCAACTAACAAAATAGAAAATGTTGAAGAGAGAGCCTTGAGATTTGTTTTAAATGATTAAACTACTGATTTCAAAACACTTCTTTTATCTACAAACTCTTCTTTTTCATACATTAAACTGATGAAACTTTTCACATGTGAGCTAGGTTTCTAAGATTGTCAAACATATGTCTCCTGAATACATACAGGAACTTATTATTAAGAAGAGTTCTTTTTATAATTTTAGACAAGAGGATGCAGTTGAAGTCCCAAGGTTGAAAACATGCAGGTATGGACAGAAATCTTCCGGTTTAGCACGCCCCTATTTGGAACTGCTTACCCAATGACCTGCGAAAGGTTGAAGACTTTGGGGAGTTTCGTAGACAGCTCCAGATGTGGGATGGCCTCAACTGCAGGTGTGCAAAGTGTTTAAGGTAGTGTCCACATGCCTGTTGTTATGCGTTATTCAAAATTTTGATTTTGTATTTATGTTCATAGATTAAGGTAAGTCTATAGTTTTTGCTGAATGTGGTTGTATGCATTGCTGTCCACTGATAGTAAGCTTGTATGTCAATGTTTATAGTAAGCTTGTATGTCAATGTTTATAGTAAGCTTGTATGTCAATGTTTATAGTAAGCTTGTATGTCAATGTTTATAGTAAGCTTGTATGTCAATGTTTATAGTAAGCATGTATGTCAATGTGTAAAGTAAGCTTGTATGTCAATGTTTACAGTAAATTGTATGTCAATGTTTATAGTAAGCTTGTATGTCAATGTTTATAGTAAGCTTGTATGTCAATGTTTACAGTAAGCTTGTATGTCAATGTTTACAGTTAGTTGTATGTCAATGTTTATAGTAAGCTTGTATGTCAATGTTTACAGTAAGCTTGTATGTCAATGTTTACAGTAAGCTTGTATGTCAATGTTTACAGTAAGCTTGTATGTCAATGTTTATAGTAAGCTTGTATGTCAATGTTTAAAGTAAGCTTGTATGTCAATGGTTATAGCTGTCCACTGATAGTAAGCTTGTATGTCAATGTTTATAGCTGTCCACTGATAGTAAGCTTCTCAATGTTTATATTAAGTTTGTATGTCAATGTTTATAGTAAGCTTGTATGTCAATGTTTATAGTAAGCCAATGTTGTTATGACCTCATGAATGTTGAAACAATGAATTTCATTCCTTATATTTACATGTTTAAGTGCTTTGAATATTCCGATGCAAGCATAAATAAAATAAATACAGGTATTGTTTTTTATTCATACATTGGGACAACGCAATAGACAGAACAGCTTGTTTCGCGGGGAAAATTAAAAAACTTCTGTTGGTGGTCCTAGCAACAGCATGACAACAAAACAAACAAATTATAGTCTACTTTTTCAAATTTAATTTGTAGAATTTATACAAGTGGTATATTATTATCATGTTCTTTACACACCTTATTTCAGCTTTAAAATCAAGTCAATCATGTTTAATACTAATTCATATTAGCATAACAAAACTACACCGAGGGCTGTTCCACTGCGGACGTGAACCAAGTTCACCATGTGCTACGTCATTTTAGTGTATCAATACGCAGTGATGGGGTAACCTGTGTTATGCAAAAATGAATGTCATTTTTCGTCAATATGTCCAAGCATACGGAATGTAAATATATGTTTATTGAAGCTACTCAAAAACGACCAATCAGCAAAATATGATCAGCTCACGGTTGCTAGCGGTAGTGACACTAGAAATTGTCTCACCAGCTAGCTATATAGCTATTCTGCCTGAGAACGTGTAGTGTGACAGAGTTCAATCAACCGTGAATTGATGGTGAATATGTATGCTACCATGCTACCAACACCGCTAACAACAGTTTGTTAATATTATAGAATTATTAACACAGTTCCTTTGTTTATTATACATCATTTAGGAAATCATTTTACAAAAATTACTGTAAGATATTACAAACAATTATTAATTAATGACAACTTAATATAATATTTTCAAGGATAACTATTTTGGTTAACTTTTAATTTTTAACTAAATTTATAGCCTATATCAGTATACAAAAAGTACAGTCAAACTTACATAATTTGAATTTCCTGACAGGAGTAAAATTGTTCTCTCTTTCTAATTTTAATCAATGTGTGATAATTAGAAAAATATGTAAATAAGCTAATAAATCAAAGTAAAATAATTAGTTCACTGAAATGTTGGGAGTCATTTAACACCTAAACATACAAACTACTGTATATAAATACACAAAACTCATTGTCCTAATTAATTAAACCCAATATTTATAGATTTTATATAATATTTCTAGCCTGGTGTTTCGTCACTTAACAAGCACATTTTGGGTCTTAAGCAGTATAAACAGGATCAAAAAGAGGCTCAAAGCTACTGTCGCGAGTGGCATTTCCTGATAGTCCTGCTAAGTTCAATACATGGAAGTTTGACGGTATTTAAATAGCAGTTACTTTTAAACCATTAAAACGTGAAAAAAACTTAATCTAAATTCCTGAAGCACTTTTATTTTAAAATGTGTTTGACATTTCAAATATTTCCAACACATTAAAGCTTAGAAAGAATAAATAAATGATTGCGTAGCTCTGTATGGACAGATGTGTTATCCACATACTGGAAAACATCTTTAGTTTAGTATTCTGGTATAAATGTGTAGCATATCCTGCTAGCACAGAGTTTGTGTCATTATTTTCCATCCATTATCAATCTTGACAATCAAACCAAATCACAAGGAATAACTTTTTGAAATTAAAAGTTCAGTCACTACTCCATGCAATGGTAATGAAGATTCATATATACACTTCAATCACAGACAAGACATTGTTCCTGTAGACATGTCCCACAAATTGCTGAGCAAACATTTGTGCTTAACAAGTTAAAAAAAACAGCTAAATGAATGCTAATACAAAATGAGTTCAAACAAGAGTTCTACAAATGTCTTAAATTTGATACACAAGTTCAAGCAATTGTCAACCAATGTCTGTGCACACAATCTAAATTCAGAACAGTCGAACCAATGTCTGTGCTTATGTATGTTCATAGGAGTTCCACTTTGTGACAAATATATTCAAAACCACGACTAGATCTGTGTCCATGTTTACAATGGCTGTATGTGAACGGGGAAACAGTGTTGGACGGTTGGACAGGGAAACAGTGTTGGACGGTTGGACAGGGTAACAGTGTCGGACGATAACAGACGTGGATGGTTCGTGGACAGATGTGGTTGGAAGTCAATGTGACAGGCTCACCGTTATATGAAGCCACCCTACAGAGGAAACAGGAAAACAGCTTCAGTATATTTTGGATAGCCGACGTTCCTCGGTATACATGTAATGACTATCAGTGTTTGAGGACACACAGCGGTTGTAGATTCCCTCGATCATCCGTA